CGTCGCGACGACAGCGCCTGCGATGCCGCCACCCGTCCCGCGCCGGCGACGTCGTTGCATCGACAGGACCGTATCTATTTACTGACGCTCTCACCTTTTCCCTCTTTTTGCTGTTTCAATCCGTCAAATTAAATACGAGACCGAGACGCACCAAATTTGAAACATTTCCAACCTGGGACGTTCAAACTATCAAGCATTTCAATTTATAAGCAATTCAATTTTGAAACATTCCCACACTTGATCACATCAAATTTGAAGCGTTTCAATCTTGAAATATTCCACCCTTGTCTCCTAATTTCTAAATATGCCAACCTTAAAATATCCTATTTGTGATTTCTTGTGATTCCTAATTGTGACTTCAACCTTGAACCACTCAAACCTCAAATTATTCCAACTCTGAATTGTTCCAAATCAAAGACCCTTCAGTCCTAAAGCAATATACTCGGCATTGTAAATGCTTGTGCCGCCCCTGAACTACCCTTACAGTTCTTAACGCGTGAGAAGCAACGCTGCTGAATCTCGGTAACCATATAACGGTTGTACACTTATGATTCATCTATTACCTGGTCTTTTCGAATACCCTAATCAATTAGTCACAGCGAAAGTCCAGTGTTTATTTGAGATAGGTTTGTCAAGGAAGTTTGTTTGGGTTAGTCACGTGAGATTAGAGAGTAAAAAATATATCCGAGCATGCGCCATGAGGCGGATAAACAGTGGAGTATAGTACCTGAAGGCTTTCGGGTGGAAAAAATGTGAAGCACTTAATGATCCGGAAGAGACTCGATAAATTTTTACGGTACTGTTGGATGTATATAAAATATTCAGTTCCGATGATAGAATTTTTAATTTAATGAAACGGTATCGCGAGACACGAAATACGAGCTACGTATGAAGTTCACTTGTTGCACCTAAAGGAGGAACACGGGAATAATCAATGAATGATTAATTCGCGAACAAGAATTATTTTATTCTTTTTTGTTTTCTTTGTAGAATGTATTAGTATAATACAATATATACTAGTGACATTAAAATTACATTCATCGCTTGAAAAAAATCGATGATATTGATAATTTTTGGTAACGTATAATAAAAAATGATATAAGCGTTACATACTTATTTATCTCTATACATACATCTCTGTAATAATCGTTTCTCTAGTTACACGATTGAACATGTTTCTCCGTGTATCACGAACCAAGAAATACAATCTGCGCCTTGGTTCATAGCCCTTCGTTTTAAAATATCTTTTCGACCGCCGTGGCCAATTCAATTCCCCGGACCAAGTATTTGTCGCGTTTAGAGACACAGTGGATCGTGTCTAAGTTTCGTAAACGTGAATTAATTTCCGACACATTTTGGCCAGGCCAGACCACCGCAAGACATCGATACGATAACGTATACTACAACCTGTAACATTCGTCAGATCGCTTATCTTTAAGAAAGTTCGATAAATTAAGTCGAAACTACTTACAATAAGGATCACTCCAACGATAACGTAAATTTTAACGTTCTTCCAGAACAATGAACGCGCCAAGTTTCTACTGGTTTTCCTAAATGTGACTGACTAAAACATAATTCAATATACATTACTACTTCAGGGTCATTAACATGTGTGCAGAAAATTAAAATTTTACGTACATTGGCAGTTAAATTGTCGGTCTTATTTACGAGAAGCTCTAGTCGTTCTCCGCGCATAGCTACATTATCTATATTCTTTACCATTATGTCTTTCAGTTCATCTAATTCGCCATGAACTTTAGATATTATGTCAATGTCTTGATTGGATTCACTGTAGTATTTCTAAACAGAGACTAGATTGTTATATTTATGTTCCATATATTCAGAACTGTATTAGTTCTATATTTGTTCCATACCATTTCATTAGCTAGAACTCTGGCAAAGTCTGAGTTCATTGCGTACGCTACTGCAGTTTGTGCACCTTGATCATAAACGGTTATAAACCTTCTTTTAATTTCTGTGAGATACAAAAATGCCCTTGATCTTTGAAAATCCTGTAATACAAAAATATGCAATTATTTGTATTTTATGATTTTATTAAATTTCATGTGTGGTTCACTACTCACATCATCGGTGATACACATATAAATAATATTATTTTCACAGATATAGTGAAAATGATAAGGTCCCTTTGTATATGTTAATTTGTCATTTTTGGGTGGAATCTTTTCCAAAATTTTTTCTATCATCTCCTCAAAATTCCCTGTGCAGGAGGCATATTTTGCCAACACAACTGTTCCTCGAGCTACCACACTGAATAAAATTGGCATGATGAATGCTGTAACACAAGGAGCAAAATTACTTAGAATGTAGGAGGACCCAAACTCTGGGACTAGCAAGCAATAAATGACGAATCAAGAAGACTTCTTCCGCTAAGCGATAAGATTTCGTTTACAATTCGATTTACTCATCCGCTATCACTATGAATAATATTATAAACGATAAAGCTGGTCAAAAATATTCCTTCAAAAGGAAAAAGAAATAGTTATCATAGTTTAGGTAACAAAAAAGTTATCAGAAAAATTACAATAAAATCATAGAACAAAGGAACTAGTATGATAGATAAAAGAAACGTCATAGATTCCTAACCTCCAAAATTACTCTGGAGATTTTTACGAACTTGTCACGAACATCTAAAACACAACCACTGAAACAATTTAAAAAGTACAAACATGTTGACACAATTGATGTTCGAATTCACTAATATCACCGATCGACAACTTCCACGACCTACCTTAATAAATTAAGCGTTAAGAACAGGAAAATAACCGTGTGACTTTCTCTATACTGATATTAAAATTAGTCAAGATTTCCCTTTTGAAGTAGCATCTGTAAACAATGTGTCCGATAAATAAATTATCAGTTTATCGAAAACAATCCAAAGGAATCAAAACAGATCTTTACTCCGAATCAACAACTTGTGCGACTGTCGTCAGCACATGACAGTTGAATCATTGTCAACTTTGTGATCTATTAGTACCACGCAAGCGTATCACACTTGGCTCGCATTTTAAATCATTTCAGAGTACATTATAATTCTCAAGAAATAGACTAATATTTCTGTATTATATTTTACAACGTTTGTTAGTACTAATGTTTGTTAGTATCATTTGTATCAAACGTGGTATCAAGGTTTGTGGTGTAATTAGAGGAGAATCATCTTGATACATTTAGATCACATTCAATTAATAATACTTGGAGAAATTTCGGAATACTGTTATGTACTAATTCTGAGCAATTATTACAGATATTCTTGTTTTTTTGGAAGGAAACATTTATGAGAACGGTTATTGCGACTCGAACGAAAAATTGTTACCATTCCAATGTGATTCTCTATATTACCGATGATAGACAATATAGTATGCGACTTTTAAACACATAAACCCCATATTTGGAATATATTGTAAATTTTGTAATATCAATATTAATAAATATATAGCATATTAATCATTAAAATTAATGTTAATTAAATTAGAAAAAAAAAAATGGACGAAGTGGCGCCATCTCTCCGGCGAATAGGGTGAACTAATCGAAAAAAATGCATGTCCGAATACGCATATAAGGAAATTATAAAAAGTCATATTTCGTAACTTTTACCACATATTATGATTCTTGAGAAATTTTTAAGCAAATTTCTATTAACATTTGATGCATTTTATCGCCGATTAAGGTCAAAAAATAAAATATTGAAATAGGTCCAGAACGGTACTAGTGGCGCCATGTTTCCTGTAGCGCCATGTTTGCTGCGCCGCCATGTTTACTGTAGCGCCATCTTGCGGTAGGAGGAGCGAACTAATCAAACTGCAGTCTCAAAAGTGTGTAGTTCACCCCGTTCGTCGGAAAGATGGCGCCACTATATAATTATAATAAAAATTCAATTTATATTGATTTTTGTGATAAATATGCTATGAAAGTATGCTATATGTTATATAAAACTGTTTACTTGCAAAATTTGATCGATGTCATGATGGTTTTCTAAAGTTTCAGAAAATAAATAAAAATTCAGAAAAGAGGGTCAAAAAGTCACGCGGTTTATAGAACTCTGCTAACTATTTCTACACTGTTTCGAATAAGAAAATCCAATAGTATCGCATGGAAAATTCGTTCGAATTTTTCCTCGTCCGAGATGCGCATGTCAGTCGATTGAAGACGTTTGCATGCCAGTTTCCGTAGTTCTGTAGTTGCGCGCAGTTCGTCATACGTAGTTCCCTGTGGATAACGGATCTCACAGCGAAACCTACATGAGGCTCAGTTCTTCATCGACCGCACAACGGCTCTAACTCCTCTCGTGACCATTGTCCATCGCCTTCGAACCGTTCCTGCTCCACGGTTCCAGCGACCTTGACAATGACGCTAGGTAAGTTACCATTATCTCGTTAGTTTCATCACTCAATCTCAAAATTGTCGGATCAGTGTTATTTGCAGATGAGTTTCAAATGGACCATCGAATCTCACATATTGATTCGAAACTTGGTCCTATGTGAACACTATGTCATTCACAAACTCATACTCCATTCTCTCACAATTATAATTTCAGAAGTTTGTAAGAAATTAAAATTTAATCAAAACATGTACACACGACCTAATAGTCTCATTACTAAAGCTACACTGTTTTGTTTGTATTGCTTGAATAAACGGTTGGCATTTGAAATTATTATTGTCGCGATTATTACATAAATGTCTTCGTGATGTAATAACTGCTTCTCTTGTAACATTTTACAAAGATTTTTTTGTTGTATTTCCCACGTTTCTTGCAGCACTGACATTCAAAACTTAACGCGTGTATCAGTATTTAGCGCAGATAACATTAGCATAGTAATTTCTATTTTTGCACGCAGTTACAATATACAAAAAAGAGCAAGCCAAAAAGAAAATTCTGATAACATTTGTTAGAATTTGCTCGTGCACGTTGGGGAGCAACGCCCTATGGTATTGATTCGAGACGAAGGGTCTCATTAGGCCTTTCCCTTCTTTCCGAGTCGCACGAAAACCCCGAAATCGATAATATCAAACGTTACATGTAAACGCAGTACAATTCATCATTTACGTTAATAATCGTACTACTACAGTAGTACGTGCTGACCTTATGGTGCACTCAGAAGCTGTGCCGAGATGATTACATCTATTTGTTTGCGTCTAGCCTACGTAGATGATACGTAATAACCTGTTAACTGCCATAACGAAAAAAGACGTAGCAAAACATACTGAAAACCAAGTGAATTATATTTAAGTTTAAAGATAAAATATTTATCAAAATGTTACTTGACCTCAAAAGTTTCCCCTGTTACATTAATTGCTTGATTAAATTGCATGAGGCGTAAGTAATCGTACCAAGGTACGCAGCTTTTTTAAATCATTATATAATCTTTATAATGATAATGTTATCACAAAAGTATCAATGCCACAAACGTTTTGCTTTGAGAGATAATATTTAGCTGTATATTATTCCCAAGGTTTCATTCATAACGTGCAATAAAATCAAAAAATTGCTACAAAAGTAGAACTATTTTTAGAAAGAAACAAAATGCGCTCGAAAGAAGTAACTGCTTTTTCAACTTATTATATTTTATAAATTTGTCGCTGGAAATGCAGTTAGACAGGAAATCGAGAGAAACAAGAACACGTAGGCAAGAAAAAAGGCTATGTAAAATACAGCATTCCGTATGCATTTCCGAAAGTACATCGACCCGTTCGACCCACTTTCGCATAACTGTGACAATATCAGCGTTTAATAAAAAACATGTACCCATCATTTCCAGTTCAGCAATAAATATTATCTCAACGATTTCTGTTTCTCGGAACAAAATTATCCAGGTACCGTTAACGGTTTTCCTTTAGTGGTTCAATTCACGCCGTCCAAACAACTCGCTCTCTAACTTCGCACGTTACGATAATTCTTTACAGAACAAATCACACTCGCTGATAACAGAAACTTATCGGTTATCGCTTATTTCACAATCTTGTTTGGAAAAGAGATTCATGCTCTGGTTGACACGACTTTAGGTAGTGTCGAAAGCCTGGTGTGCAGCGTTCAGGAACGCTCGTTGGGGGTCCTGTCTTCTTTTTTTTTTCATCTACTTTGCTTATTTGCATTGCAAATTGCTCGACTTTGCGCGAGTCTAATGACTAGCAGATAGTAAGCTGCCAGCTCATTGTCGGTTATTTCTGATTTTACCTTACTTTGCTTATGAAGATGCGATTTAAATATGCATTTGATAATTTTCTATGTTGTCTAGTGTTAGGTTGCTAAGTTCTGTACAGTCATGCTTGGTATTACCATGTTTTATAGCGTTTAATTAGCGCGCGTGGATTCATCAAGTATTGCCTTGTCAAGGATTTACATGCTGCGTATGTCACTACTGACGTATTCCCAGAATACTATATATGTATAGTGATTACTTTGTGACTAGATCAGTATAAGAGCAGATGTCTACATTGTCAGGTCTCTACATCCACAGATCCCTGCATGGTCAGATCTCTACACCCTCAGATCCCTGTATCATTAGATCTCTACATCCATAAACCTCTATATCCCCATTTTTCTATCTACTCAAATTTCTATGATCCGAATTTTCATATTTCCAAATTTCTATATGCCCCAATTCCCACAGCCCCGAATTCCTGCATCCTCGGGTACCCATATTTCTAGGTCCCTACATCCTCAGATTACTGCATTGTCAGATCTCTACATCCCCAAACTCCTATGTCCCCAAATCCCTACGTTCCCACATTCTCACATCCCTGAATCTCTGCATCCTCAAATCACTACTTCCCCAAATCCCTACATCCCCAAATCTCCACATCTCTGAATTCTCACATCCCCGAATCCCCACATCTCCAAATCTCCACATTCCTGAATTCTCACATCCCCGAATCTCCACATCCCCGAATCCCCACATTTCCGAATCCCCACATCTCCAAATCTCCACATCCCCGAATTCTCACATCCCCGAATCCCCACATCTCCAAATCTCCACATCCCCGAATTCTCACATCCCCGAATCCCCACATCTCCAAATCTCCACATCCCCGAATTCTCACATCCCCGAATCCCCACATCTCCAAATCTCCACATCCCCGAATTCTCACATCCCCGAATCCCCACATCTCCAAATCTCCACATCCCCGAATTCTCACATCCCCGAATCCCCACATCTCCAAATCTCCACATCCCCGAATTCTCACATCCCCGAATCCCCACATCTCCAAATCTCCACATCCCCGAATTCTCACATCCCCGAATCCCCACATCTCCAAATCTCCACATCCCCGAATTCTCACATCCCCGAATCCCCACATCTCCAAATCTCCACATCCCTGAATTCTCACATCCCCGAATCCCCACATCCCCGAATCTCCATATCCCCGAATCCCCACATCCCCAAGTCCCCACATCTCCCAATTCCTACATCCCTAAATCTCCAAATCCCCAAATCCCCAAATTCCCAAATCCCCAAACCCCCAAATTCCTAAATCTCCACCTCTCCAAATCCCCAATTCTCAAACCCCAAACTCTCATTTTCCAAAATTCTTCCAGATGCCCACACTTACAATTTCCATACCTCCAAACCCCACACTTCCAATTTATCCAAAACCCATTGAATAAAGCAATCCGTTCCTGCCAGGTATCGCATATTCATCTTCCATCGCGGTTTCCAGCGAACGATTTTGCAACGGACCGTTTTGCATGGTCGCTTCACCGTTGAGAATTAATCGTTGGGCTTGTTGCGAACAGATACCACGCGTTTGACGTACATGTCGGCGGCAGCGGTTGGCGCCGGGACGGTGGTCGTGTTCCTGTGGTGGTGGTGGACCAGCAGGCAGAAGGACAAACTACCCTCGGAATGGCGGAGGGTCGGAGAACTCAGTAACATGCTCGTGTTCCCGGTGAAGTCGCTTGGGCCTATACGAATGAACGCGATGGAGTGCACGCAGCTGGGTCTGAAATCTGGCTGGTTGAGGGACAGGACGTTGATGCTCATCGATCTTAATGGACGCTTTGTTACTGCCAGACAGCATCCGAAAATGGTTCAGGTGAGAGATTTTATTTCGCATATTCTCTGATAAGGTATTTGGTTGAGTGTTTGATAAAAGATTTGTTGTATAAATACTTTGTTTGAAACGTTCATATGTGGTACACGTGAGGAACGAAAAATTGTTCGAAATGTGATAACGAAAATTGGTACAGCCAAAATTGCACGAGGTTTTACATTGTTGTTACAAGAGGTTTTTGAAAAGATTAATGTCTGGATGGTACTATACTAATTATTGTTACATTATAATTACTGAGTTATTAGCATTGTAAATGTAGGCATTCTTCCTGCAAATTATCTAAAATTATCCCGTGATTAATAGAGAGTGCAAAGCTATGCAAAATTAGCAAATGTTTAGGAAAATTTTTCAGTTAAATGTCAATGTACGTAGATGTAGTAAAACATACAATGTATATACTATGTAAAGTAGGAAGGCCTAATTATTACCCAGATATACAAAACAGATATGTGCCTTTCACCGCACTTTAAATAATCGTGCCACGATAAGAAGAATAATTGCTTCTTCTACCACGCTGTCCTCGTTCACTTGATCGATAAAACTAATCTAATCGAGGTATCTTTGAGGAGAAAAATACTATCGCGCAAAAAGCGGAGAATCTCAAGGCAGAATTACCCGTGAAAGCTGGCGATAACGTGGCCATCCGGTCATTTTTTCTTTCGTACCTCTTCATGGGTTGTTAGGCCCCGTTAGCAGTCCTATGAGTCTCTATTTTATCCCTCCAAGTCGACGTTTTAATTCAGGAAACTTTTATAATCGGAATTAACGATCCATTTTATCGCGGTGGAAACTCGCGGAATTTACCGTTCCGTTCGTTGAATTAATTCCATGAGCGTTTTTCCTTTGAAATGTTCTTTTTTATAAAATTTTGAATGTGACTTAATTTTTTTTTAGATATTATTCTGCCGGAAATTTGGGATTTAGGGAGTTACGGATGTAGGGATTTGGGGATGTGAGGATTTAGGGATGTAGAAATTTGGGGATGTAAGGATTTGGGCATACAGGGATTCAGGGATGTAGGGATTTAGGGAAGTAGGGATTTACGGAAGTAAGGATTTAAGGATGCAGGACTTTAGGTCGTAGTGAGGTAGGAACTTGGTAACACGAAAATTTAGAAATACCAAAACTTACAAATTTAAAAATTCGAAATTTCAGAAATTCGGGACTTGAGAGCTCAAAAATTGTTCCCGTAAACTTCTAAATTTCTACCACAAAAATATGCACTAATTCACATAAGTGCCTCCTATCCCCAAAAAGAAATCGTACCTCGTCACGCCTTCGTACCTCCACGTCCCTACGCGGAAACGTACATTGTTTCCGTCTCAGATTACAACGAAACTGAAAGAATCTATTATTACAAGGTATCGCCCAGTGTTACTGAATCGGTTCTCACGCTATCAGCTCCTGGAATGATGTCCATGTCCATCGATCTGTCGCAAGTCAACGGCAAAGGATTCCGCGTGGCGGTGTGGGGTCAACCCGTGCAAGCGTGCGACTGCGGCGAAGAAGCTGCCCGATGGTTGTCGCGCTTCATCCTCCAGGAAGACACCGGTTTTCGATTGGTTTACTACCCGTTAAGTCATCCTACCAGGGAGGTCAGGCAGAAGAACAAGTATTTCCCGTTGACCTGCGAGGACACTGTAAGTTTCAAGATGCAGATAATTGACACGGTTTCTACGAACTTGACACTTTCAGGGTGCCTATCCGGACGCTACAAGTTATAATCTGATAAACGAGAGTTCGGTGGCCGAGTTGAACTCTCGGTTGGACAATCCGGTTATCTGGGAACAGTTTCGTCCGAACTTCGTAGTGAAAGGCGCTGTGCCGTATGAAGAGGACAGTTGGGAGTGGGTGAAGATCGGAGACGTGATCTTCAAGAACGTGATGCCCTGCACCAGATGCATTTTTACAACCATCGATCCGGAAACTGGGAAAAAGGACCCGAAAGCGGAGCCGTTGAAAACGCTGAAAAGGTACTTAACTGATAGTATATTTAGATATTAACACTATACAACACTCCAGAAACACTTCAAATTTCCTTTATACATATGTAGGTAATATTAGAAGACTATATCTTGGAATCAGAACTTTTATATCTGATAAAGAGGTCTTAAAATTGAGAACGTGATAAAGTAATGATAGCACAGATCCCCAGTTATCATTGAGTATTAAGAGTATTAGAATATATCTCATAATTGTGGAAATAAATCTTATCTTATCAGCGTTGTCAAGTACTATACCTTATACGAATGTATCCTACAGTTACAGGCAAATAACGGATCCACTTTACCGTCCAATGACCGGCGAGAGTCCAGTGATGGGGATTCACCTTGGGCTTAGATCCCCTGGTGGGACGGTGCGCATAGGGGATCCAATTTACGTCGGAGTACCTGATAAGAAACCACCATTGATCTCGCCTCCATAGCTACATCGGTGGGCTTCATGCGAGGACGAAATGTTCGTCTTTGCGGAAGCCCAACCCTCGCCAAAAAAAGATTTGGCCAAAGACTCAACGCAAGAAAGCTCGTAGCGAGTGCAAACGAGGCCTAATTCGCGAGAGACGCTACTCGTGGATCTTCCAGTCGGAAACAATAATAGCGTACATGAAAGTGTTCACGCGACCGTGTGATAGATAATATTTCTACGAATATTATTTTGCCGATTATAATGTGCTTAAAATGATCGAGTTTCCTCGAGTGTATTTTTTCTAAATATTGAATCAACGTTGCCAAAGTCAACGATCGTTGTTTGTAACGAAGTATACTAATAGGAAATAAATGAAGGAAGCGTGTCTTCCATTTCGATAGAATTCTCTCGTTTTTTTATGACAATAATATTTATTTATTTACACTACAAAACAACAGAGGCGATTTACAATAAGATAGACACACGTTAACGAACGTATCAACGATGAACGTTCTCTTCGGTTCGAAGGGAACGCGCATCGTTTCATAATCGAATGCGGCGAATGAACAGTCGGTGTCAACAAAATTTTATCAAAGATGCCATTCGTTTAACGTTTACCAGAATAATCTCAGACAGTGCTTATTTTCCTAGAATGGTGCTGATGGTAATCATCCATCGCAGTCTTCGCTCACCGACTGCACTTGTTCAGGTGGTAACCGATATATCGATTCAAGGGTAGAAAAGGGTCGACTCTTGGCACTGTTGCAATCTGGGAATAGCTAGTATGTACAAGTTCACGCGGAATTCTGCGCGATGCGTTCACAAGGCTGGGCGAGAAGTGCTTCGACGAGTGCGTTTTATACGTGTTTATTCTCGGGTCAATCTGGACCTGCGTACTGGGCAGAATTGGTCATTTGATTGCGATCCTTATATAAAAGAGATGTTAGAGAATTACGAAGAAATTTCATAATTAGGTAATTTGGAAATTACGAACTTGATAATGTACAAATTAAATATGTTAAATATTTAATATCGAAATATGTTCAATACTTAACACTCGATATACCTTAACCTCCCAATTCTGCACAATCCACGTATAATTTACACAATTAAGTTTGTAAGGTCACAAGTAACAATGTACGTCGTACAAAGCGCACAAGTCGTATTCGACGAATAACAGTGGGAACGCTGTTAATAGACTATAACATAAAGAGACAAGAGAAACGAAGAGAGTCGAAGAATCGTTGGAGGACGGGAAGTAAATAAGAGAAGAAGAGAAACGAGGAAGGACGAAAGGGAACGAGGACATCAAGTACATATCACGAGTGATTGCAAACACGAAGTCGCGAGGTTACGTTTTTTTAGTTACGAGGACGAATCTACCATCGACGAGACACTTCGGACCTCGGGGACAAGGGGGCAACGTGTTGGCTGATTACGTTGCCAACGTCGTACCCGTGTTCCTGCGACAATGGTTACGGCTCGACAATGGCTCCCACGTGGATCCAGATCACTTTCAGGACCATCGGATCTTCTCGTTTACTTCCACACACCTTGTGCCCCGCGCAACGAGTTCTATATGATGGAAGTGATCAGTCTTGCCTTGAAGTTGACGATACGCTCGCTCGTCGCCGCAAGACGCTGCAAAACGCAAAATTATAATTTTTAATTCAAGTCACTTCAAGATTATGTGAAGACAATTTTAGTGTTTGCATCTTTGGAATATTAATTAAAATGTTAAATGAGTTCTTCTGACGTTATTTCTCTACTAAAAATTCGCACTATGTTTATACGTAATATGAAACACTATTACAGAATTAGTTAAATAATGCGTGTTTCAAATTATTGTACTAAATCGAATGGCGTTTAAGAGGTGCCTCTCGCAAAGGGTTAATAACAAACTTATTAAGAATATTGTATAAACTTGTGACATCCTACATGTAAAACCAACATGTGATTTACAGTGGAATATAGCAGAAAGGGTATCGGGTAACATAAAGGTGAAAGGATATAGAAACGAAAGCTTCTGCATTTATTTGAGCGTAGTCCACTTTCGAAACGACTTCCTGATTTTATTGGCCCGAGCAATTTCTTGCATCGCAAAAGAACTATTTCAATAGTTTAAATTCTGCACTTCGCTCTTTCTTGCATCTCATTGTTCGACTTCCTATAACGACAACGCGCTAGATTTCCCGCATAGAGAAATGTTGCAACGCTTTCGAAGCGAAGCCGCTTTCGACACTTTTTATCCACGCGGCCAAAGTTTCACCGTGACCAACGAAAGAAATCGATCTATTGTTCCGACCGATCGAACTTGCTAGTCCTAGAACATTTCCGTTCTTGTTCTCAATGTTGCCGGGAAATAAATCGGATTCCGCGCGATGCGCGAAGCGTGAACGCTTTCCAGATGTCCGCTTCGCGAGCACGCTTCGGTATTGCGCGTAAATGGCGCGATTAGGTCCGCCAATTACCGTGCGCCTCCGTCAAACTGCCGCTCAATTTTGTTTGTATTTTTGCTTACTCATTTTGCGTTGCATTTTGAACGTTTCACTTTTATTTTTCTTTTTATAACATTGAAGGTCGATGTCACGCATTGATTAACTTTGGTGCAGCCACTTGCTATATTGCCATCTCGGACTTTCACAATGTCGGTCATTGTACGGTGATACACGTAGATTGCAATATCGCAAAAAATGTTGTGCTATTAAGATCTACACATTTTGCAAAAACCTGTTCCATTCATATATTGTTCACTAATTTTAATTAGTAAGCTTTAATTGGTAATTGCAGTGTAATCAGTAATTTAGCAGAAAAATAGAAATTACAAGGGCGATCATTGTTGACCCTCGTGGTAACAACGATCAAAGTGTTCACTGGGTCGTAATAAAGACGTTATTAGAGAAAAATAAAAACCTAGGCCTCCGTTCAACCACTGTATTCTTTTTCTTACACGAATTCTTAGCGCGCATTGTTTTTCCTCAGCTTTCTTCAACCGGCGTTCGAGCGAGTGGCAAATGAAAGTGGCAGAAAAATGTCTTTTACTTCTCCTCGTTCGTTGAACAAACGGTACCAAAGAAGTCATTTTTATGCAACGATCACGTTTCTCCAGAAACGGGTCAATGTTTTACGGAATTGTATCCTTAGTGATAGCAAATAACACAAGGTGCGATCAACGGCCTCTAACAAAACGGTTTCTCGCGTTTCTTTTGTAGATCGGTTTCGCTTTCGTTTAGAGTTCACAAGCGGAACGGATCTCGACGCGTGGGTGCGATAAATATATTTACTTGTTTAAATTTAGACTTTGTTTCGAAATGCATACAAAACTGGCTACTATTTCATTCTTCAGAAATATATGAATATTCTGTGTTAGAATACGATAGTGCAGTTGTTTAAGGCGTTGTGATTGTATGTATGATAATTGTATACGTTGTAGTACAATATGTGACGATTCCACATATGGTAATATGACGCGTGTAATTGCGCGTGTGACAATTTTGCGCGAGGTGATACAAGGTGCGATAGTTCTGAGCGCGGTGGTTCGACATGTGGTAATGTAGCGCGTAACAGTTTCACGCATGGTAATTCTACGCGTGGTAATTCGACACTTGGTAATTCGACGCGTGGTAACTCGGCGCGTGGTAATTCGACGCGTGGTAAGTCTACGCGTGGTAGTTCGACGCGTGGTAATTCGACGCGTGGAAATTCGGCGCGTGGTAGTTCGACGCGTGGTAATTCGACGCGTGGAAATTCGGCGCGTGGTAATTTGGGGCGTGGTAATTCGACGCGTGGTAATTCGGGACGTGGTAGTTCGACGCGTGGTAATTCGATGCGTGGTAATTCGGCGCGTGGTAATTCGATGCGTGGTAATTCGACGCGTGGTAATTCGATGCGTGGTAATTCGACGCGTGGTAATTCGATGCGTGGTAATTCGACGCGTGGTAATTCGATGCGTGGTAAACGTGGTAGTTCGACGCGTGGTAATTCGGCGCGTGGTAATTCGACGCGTGGTAGTTCGACGCGTGGTAATTCGACGCGTGGTAATTCGATGCGTGGTAATTCGACGCGTGGTAATTCGATGCGTGGTAATTCGACGCGTGGTAATTCGATGCGTGGTAATTCGACGCGTGGTAATTCGATGCGTGGTAATTCGACGCGTGGTAATTCGATGCGTGGTAATTCGACGCGTGATAATTCTACTCGTGGTAATTCGACGCGTGGTAATTCGACGCATGGTAATTCGGCGCGTGGTAATTCGACGCGTGGTAATTGGGGGCGTGGTAATTCGGGGCGTGGTAACTCGGCGCGTGGTAATTCTACGCGTGGTAATTCGACGCATGGTAATTCGGTGCGTGGTAATTCTACGCGTGGTAATTCGACGCATGATAATTCGGCGCGTGGTAATTCGACGCGTGGTAATTCGGGGCGTGGTAATTCGACGCGTGGTAATTCGATGCGTGGTAATTCGACGCGTGGTAATTCGATGCGTGGTAATTCGACGCGTGGATTCTACGCGTGGTAATTTGATGCTTAGTAATTCGACGCGTGGTAATTCGACGCTTAGTAATTCGACGCGTGGTAACTCGACGCGTGATAATTCGACACATGGTAATTCACCAAGAATCAATTTCAAGCATCGCAACACAACCCATGGTAATCCAACCATTAGTCATTCACCGCGTGATAATACAACTTAACTCAACTCCAATTATGGTAATACAACGTACCAGTCTGAATCGTACCACACACAGTACTTCCACACGACGATAAAATACACGTTAATGTAACGTGTGTCGATGTTATAACTACCAATGACAGTACCAACGCGTGGCAATGTAAGCTACTATTGTCGCGCGTGCTACTGTAAATGTGACACTAGCGATCTCCTACGGACAAACGTGTCAACAAACACGGATCATTATCGATTTTCATGTATCACGGGCTGGTGAACCGTGCCCCTGGCGGTATATGGTACCATGAGCCACGTAGCAGTAGCTTGCATAAGTCCGCAAGCAAATGGACGAGCTATTTCATAGAGAAAGTCGCTTACATTTTTACTGTCCGCCGATCCTGACAGAACTTGCGTAATCGCCCAGTTTTATATCTGGAACGGTCGCGAGACTTTTGGCAAAATCCACGCGCGTTCTCCTTTGGTCGGTTATAAATTGATGGTACGGTCACTGACGAAATTGGCGAATTTTTATGCTGCATGCATTTGAACTCGAAATAAATTTAATGTATTTGACATCGCTTGAGTTATACACTGTGTAGTGTATTCTTGCTCAGAAGTTGCAAATTGACCAAACAAGATGATACGTGAAAGTTTGCGATATTATTGATATAATAATATGTGTGATTATTGACAAATTTGATTATTGATTATTGATAAAAATGATTCATTTTTACTGCGACAGTAAATGTATTAAATAGCTATTCTGACCTATAGAAATAAGGTACGGAAAATCCACTTTCAAGGAACCTGTTCGCCATCACTTTGTGACGGGAAACGGAAATACAGGTTCTTGTCCTTGTTTTGTCACAGTCACTGCTCAAATGAGCCATTACTTTATAATATAGAATTAGATCCATATTTTGTTGCAACAAATTTCGAATAAATATTAGTTGAATATTTATATTTGAACTATTAATGAAATTGCAATGGCTGCCAGATAGAAAGCTTAAATTAAAAAATCCAGTATTGAATACACAATTACACCGTACAGACGGTTTCACTACAGTGTTAAAGGCAAAACATTCATAATATTTCACTTTCTCTACGTGATTTAATGTTTCAATTCTGGATAACTTGAGCAGCAACGATTAAACTTATACAAAATAAATACCTCTTCAAAGCATTAAATTCTTCAATTTTTTTTTTTAAATTAATTTAGACATCACCAACTTCATTCTGTTATAACACCACAGTGCAGTGTAAATAAAGTACTCAGTTTTACATGTTACCGTAAACGTTACATTAACGTCAATAAATCTTAGATTTTCAAAGACGATAAGGTTTCACTTTCCAACAAATCGATTATGTAAAACGACGTAAGAAACGAGCTCCATTCTAAAACTTGTCCTCGAGAGGACGATTTGTGTCGTGAGCATGCGATTACGATGACGCGAATCATCTCAAACTTTAATGGCGCTTCGTTCGTGGCTCGTTAACCAGACCGGCCGGAAAATCTCGTGGAAAGTCTTGCTCCATAATTTTACTACGTGTCGTAACGTTTCTCGCTTATTTTTTCTTCGTTGCGTCCCGATATCTTCTTTGCTTGGCTAAACATAATCGATTTCTAGCCACGAAGTTCGACTGTGCGGTTACCGCAATCCTCCGCTCCGCCAATCGAGTTTCAGACTTTTATTTGCACTATTCGCCAAATGTTCTCTTTAACGATCATTGTGTAAGGCTTTTACGTTTATTGAATTATTGAGGTTTTTTCACTGTGGCTGCGGCTTTCAATTGACGCAACTGACTCGACTTGCTACATTTGGGATAATTGTTCTAATTCAAATTTTTAGAGTTTTGAGTTTCTGAAGGATAGGTATTTCAAGTTTTTGAATGCTCAAATTTTTAATTTTTGTATGTTTAAATTTTTTAAGCGCTCAACTCTCAAATTTACATATTTCTAAATTTCAAACTTTTGTGTGCCTATACGCTCAAGTTTTCATAATCATAAATTTACAAATTTGCAGATTCGCGTGTACCCAAACTCTCAAGTTTTCAATCTCCTCAATACCCAATAACCAACCATCCACAGATCACCAATTTCCTAAGTCCATAATTTTCCCAAACTCTCAAATTCCTAATTTTCTAAGTCTCCAAATTCTCAGATCTCCAAATACCTAAATTCCCAAACCCTCAGATTCCCAACTACCTAAGTCCCCAAATTCCCAGATCCCCAAATCCTCAGATCTCCAAATACCTAAATCCCCAAATCCTCAAATCTCCAAATACCTAAATCCCTAAACCCTCAGATTCCCAACTACCTAAGTCCCCAAATTCCCAGATCCCCAAATCCTCAGATCTCCAAATACCTAAATCCCCAAACCCTCAGATTCCCAACTACTTAAGTCCTCAAATTCCCAGATCCTCAAATCCTCAGATCTCCAAATAATTAAATCCCCAAATCCTCAAATCTCCAAATCCTCAGATCTCCAAATACCTAAATCCCCAAACCCTCAGATTCCCAACTACCTAAGTCCCCAAATTCCCAGATCCCCAAATCCTCAGATCTCCAAATACCTAAATCCCCAAATCCTCAAATCTCCAAATCCTCAGATTTCCAAACACCTAAGTCCCCAAATTCCCAGATCCCCAAATACCTAACTCCCCAAATCCTCAGATCTCCAAATCTCTAAACTCTGAGATTCCTCAAATACTAAAATTCTGAGATCCCCAAATTTTGAAATCCTTAAACTCTGCGAACCCCAAATCCTGAGAACCCCAAACCCCACGAACTCCAAATCTTGAGAACTCCAGATTCCTCACTCCTTAAATCCCCAACTTCCTAATTCCAAATAAAAACCATCATCCAAATAAAAAAATAAATTACTCACAAGAATGAGGTCCTGTATGAGATTCGATATTCCTCTGTTCGCAATAACGAAGAGCCTAGTGACCGGTCCAGGGACCGCTTCTGGTGGTTCCTCCGCTTTTCCTGTACCAGCCGAGGCACTTCCGCTACCGGCCACCAGCTGTAAACAATCGAACCGTCCATTAATATAATATCGAAAGGAAAGCGTTCGTTCTCGAAGGACAACACGAAGAAAGAAGTGTGAATTAGAGAATAAGTCGTTTAGATCGTTCCTTTCGTCATCGATCATCGTGCGAATATTCTTAAGTTTGATGTCTAATTAGGAAGATTGCTGTGTGTAGTTCAGCTCCACGTCCAGCTCCAGCGCTCCCGACACTACGGTGCTTTTACATCCTGAATCCTAATTGCGATCCATCGATCTTGCTGCTACGATCCTTACGTGCTCTCCTCCGGCTCGTGACATTGTTCGAACATCGTTCTGTCCACACCACTCTTCCTTGATCGAAAGTGATCTCGAACTCTGTTCGACACTAACGCTGGAACTAACGCTGGATAAATAGATCTAGGGTTGATCTATGATCTTTTAAGAGAGCAGATTAAAATTAACATGTCTTTTGATCTGAGACCAAGTTTTCGTATGTGTTTCAGCGTTGAACAGAGTTTCGAGTGGCATGGACAGCCTACAGGTGCAACCATTACTAGAAAATATGTTCACCAGGACCCAGATGGACAATCAGATTACTGTGGTAATTACAAGGCAGCTGACGACCATACTTACCTATCCTCTGATGCCAGAAACGTGCATCCCCAGTTCATAAGTCATCGAACACTTGTACAAAAAGGAATGCAAGAGAATCAAGCTGTTGATTTAACTCTTCTGTTCATCTCGAATTAAATTTTATAGCCGATAACTTGACCAGAATTCTTCAGAATCAATCTTGTCAACGAAATGTCTACAATACGAATGCAATGAAAATCTAAAAAATGACTATCTTGCAAGTTTGCAACACTCGACGTTCATCAAGTGTACCTCTTTGTCAAACGTCCTCAGGTGACGTTAGTCAAGTGTCCGGTGACTTATGGTCGAAGTTGTACGTCGCGTACCGTGCTATCAATTTGCTACTAAAAAGAAGAGCTTCGTGACCAGACGATCTAATTCGATTTCATTTGAAACGGTAATCGCTAAGAATGTGAGAGAGTGCATCGACTGGTGACACATCGGTTCTCGGTGCGTTCCAGCAGCAACGAACGAACTACAGCTAAACAGTCGTTACGGTGCAATGGACGAGTACGAGATTTCAGCAACGAAAAAATCGGCAATCGATCAATGGTTGCCATGTGATTCCGTGTCGAAAATCGGCCGGGATGTCCATCAAGCCAGTTTAGAGATGGTGGTTGCCGGTGTCGCGTCGGGACCGTTGGCCGGGTGGAACGATTGGAGGAAGGTGCTTTTTGGATTGCAGGTTTCAGGTTTTGTACAGAGGATTCGATTTCTATTTTAATGTGATTTGTTAGTGGGAAGATGACGATCGGTATTAACTGATCTGCGGGAGCAAAAGACAGCAACGAGATAGTTGAGATAGCAACAATTCTTCCCTTTCTATTTTCATTCTCTAAATTTTAGAATAGTTCACTAGATATTCTACAAACTTGTGAAGGTATTTCGTGAAGTTTAGTTTGATCATCACACCAAAGTTTTGATAACTGAAATATTTATTTTGAAAACGTAACAAAAAATTTCCAATATATTTTGCAAGAATATAACAAATTAAAGAAAATAGCTAGTGTCCATACTCTTCAACGTTGCATGTCTTTTGATCACTCAAATTGGACCTAAATGAGATTAGTGACAATAATGAACATAGTTGATACACGTGGCAAGAATTGCGTGCCGATGTTAAAAACGTTTTCACAGCGACCCGTTACGTCATTCGAAGCAAATATTTAAAACAAACATTCTGGCCGCGCAATCTATGCACGATCAAGGCGAAGGAGAACGAAGAGGTAATTCAAGCTGAAGAGTAGAGAGATGAAGATCTAAGAGGTGATATCTGGAGTGGTTAAGTAAACGGTAGACGCAGAGCAAACGAAGAGGAACGTGCAGAACGAACAACAGGCGATTGTTAACCACGTGCGAGGATTATGACATGCAAATCAAACATAGTAGAGGACCGGGTGCAATTCAGCTGTTAGATACACGAGTCATACTTTGCGGATATGCTTCTTTCCTTGTATCGGATATTTACAACTGCGTTTAGAATATGTTTAAGAATAGCATAGATAATAGAATGTCTTTAAGAAGGTATTTTTGAATTCTGGTTTTGTTGTGGAGATGGAGTAAGTTACGGTGGCAATATATTAGCTGTTGCAATAAAACGTAGCTTTTTCAGTAGCGGAACCCGTGGCGATATAACGCGAGATTCTACGACGATACAACATATGATTCTATGTACACCGATTTCATATGTGATACATCACATAAGGGCACATATTTTACGAATAGTGATACAACAGAGATTCGAGGTTTGGCAATATAACACGTGGCGATTCTACCCGTGATCGTATGGTGACAACTACCCATTTCAAACATGTGTCGATTCCAGATAACGATGACGACTGACGATTTTGCACATTTCGACACGTGACTGTACAACGTGTGGCGATCTCTGATGTATTCAATAGAAAATTCGTTATATAAATATTAACACATTCCTGATTTACTACTCCGATATACATATTCATTAACTTACGCAATTATTAGATATAAAATTATATAACTTGTTAATCTAATTCCGTTTGTTGATATTGAGCTTCATGAAAAAATTAATAATGAATGCAAATATCGACATTTATCTTCTGAACTTGATTTTTTTCAATTATAAAATTAACTGGTCAACATAAAAACCTAGAAATGTGCATAACACACCGGGTGTCCCACCTTAAAATAACCTTACTGAATCTTAATCAGTACACATCAAAACCAGAATTAAGCTTGAAAAAAGCATTCCGCAAACGGTACGAGTGTGGGCGAGTAGAAAGCCAGAAAGAATCGTTGACACAGAGAGAAATAGAAAATCAGTGAAAGAAGCCAGGTCTAACGAGAACGTAAACATGAGGTTTCCAGCATGGCGAGATTCAGAGAGCGACTGAAAATCGCTTAGCCGGAAGCTGCGGTCTGGCTTCCGTTCACCGGGACAGATATAAGAGAGACGTGCAGAGTTTCATTTTTGTTTGTTCTTTTGTTCTCGGCAGTGTCCGTTCGGCTCTGCTCGGAAGGATTGGCGTACCGGTGGTAAGTTTCCGGTTCCTGACGCGGCCGGTGCGCTGGTCGAGGATCCCGCCGTGGTCGAGGAACCAGCTGGAGCGGCAGCAGGGGCGGCACCTTGGGGAACAGGGCCCAAGTCCCGAGAGGCGCTTAAACCGAGCCCTAGGCTCTGCGTACCTGCCACCACGCGGTACACCGTGCCCGCCGCTCTTGCCGCCCCGTCGGCCGCTTGCTAAACGAGAACAGACACGAGAAACTTTCGTTTACTGATCCGCTCTTCAGCTACGCGAGCCTGTCTTTATTTTAGTTCTTTTTTATCGAAGGTCTTTCCCCTCCGCTGCTACCTCCGACTAATTTCCTCGCCTCGAGCTCGAACTTCCTGTAAAGCGGCTGAAATTTTGCTATTTAACCAGTGGATGCGTTCATCTGGGACCTCTGCTCTTTTCGCTATTTCACGGTTCATTCGATGCTTTCGTACCTGGGCGAAAAGTGGAGTTCGAGAGAATGGCAATTTATCGTGAACTTAAATGGAAACTGAGCCGGAGACCAGTTTCGATTAGTCACTCGTGGTCTGCCGGGTTTTTCGTGTACTTGAATGGGTCACAAGAATCGAGTAACAAAGGCGTTTGGTAATCACAGACCGATTCTTGAGTTTTTTGTTATTGAGTAATAATTTACTTAATCAAGGTTTATCAAGGATATCAAGGTTTCTACGACTAAAACTTTCTAATTTTAAATCATAGTTAAATGCACTGAACGTTTCCTCGTACGTTTCTATAAGCGATTAATAGCGGAATTGAGTTCATTCATCAATTCAGATTAAGCACTTCGATAATCGATACTTCTGATACTTGTCGTATCAGAAATATCCGCACGCGTTATATCCTGCTGAGCTACTTTCTACTGCCACTCTATTATTACTATTTTCATTGCTGCCGTTCGCAATCGACCCAAGTATGTTCAGCTTTGATCGCAAACACGAAAGTCCAACTCGTTCATTTAGTTCCAAGTTCCTATCTCGTAATTGACACTCCTTTTTTCAGCAACGTAAAAAGTGAAGCTAAAGATCGTTTCTATTTGTGCGTAAATTCCAGACTTTTTTCACACACGTTCTACCTTTATTAACAAACAAGTCATGAATAGGTAAGGAACCTTGCAATCGAACTATTAAATTGTATTCGAACTCTTCATCCAGTCGCTCTTGTGACACTGTACTTTACTCTTGCTTGAACATTAAATACTGCCAGGTCAAGTTTTTTGTCCTCGCGGAGCGGCAGCAGGGGCGGCACCTTGGGGAACAGGGCCCAAGTCCCGAGAGGCGCTTAAACCGAGCCCTAGGCTCTGCGTACCTGCCACCACGCGGTACACCGTGCCCGCCGCTCTTGCCGCCCCGTCGGCCGCTTGCTAAACGAGAACAGACACGAGAAACTTTCGTTTACTGATCCGCTCTTCAGCTACGCGAGCCTGTCTTTATTTTAGTTCTTTTTTATCGAAGGTCTTTCCCCTCCGCTGCTACCTCCGACTAATTTCCTCGCCTCGAGCTCGAACTTCCTGTAAAGCGGCTGAAATTTTGCTATTTAACCAGTGGATGCGTTCATCTGGGACCTCTGCTCTTTTCGCTATTTCACGGTTCATTCGATGCTTTCGTACCTGGGCGAAAAGTGGAGTTCGAGAGAATGGCAATTTATCGTGAACTTAAATGGAAACTGAGCCGGAGACCAGTTTCGATTAGTCACTCGTGGTCTGCCGGGTTTTTCGTGTACTTGAATGGGTCACAAGAATCGAGTAACAAAGGCGTTTGGTAATCACAGACCGATTCTTGAGTTTTTTGTTATTGAGTAATAATTTACTTAATCAAGGTTTATCAAGGATATCAAGGTTTCTACGACTAAAACTTTCTAATTTTAAATCATAGTTAAATGCACTGAACGTTTCCTCGTACGTTTCTATAAGCGATTAATAGCGGAATTGAGTTCATTCATCAATTCAGATTAAGCACTTCGATAATCGATACTTCTGATACTTGTCGTATCAGAAATATCCGCACGCGTTATATCCTGCTGAGCTACTTTCTACTGCCACTCTATTATTACTATTTTCATTGCTGCCGTTCGCAATCGACCCAAGTATGTTCAGCTTTGATCGCAAACACGAAAGTCCAACTCGTTCATTTAGTTCCAAGTTCCTATCTCGTAATTGACACTCCTTTTTTCAGCAACGTAAAAAGTGAAGCTAAAGATCGTTTCTATTTGTGCGTAAATTCCAGACTTTTTTCACACACGTTCTACCTTTATTAACAAACAAGTCATGAATAGGTAAGGAACCTTGCAATCGAACTATTAAATTGTATTCGAACTCTTCATCCAGTCGCTCTTGTGACACTGTACTTTACTCTTGCTTGAACATTAAATACTGCCAGGTCAAGTTTTTTGTCCTCGCGTTACTGATGTTACTTTTTTTAATTTATTTTTTATTAACTTCATTGAAGATGTAATATTGAAAGCGTGAATACTAATCCAACGATTGCATATAGGAACGAAATTATTTAAAACGTATTTACTAAAAATCTACAAAGGAGTCTTCCAAGTCTTATATTCTTTCTTCTAAGTCTATGTTCATCTCATCTTACTATTAACAAAAAAATAAGAGACTTCACTCGTGATTTTATTAAAATAGTTCCGGATTTAAAGATTGTATAACATCCACTTTTCACCCATTTTCCAAAAAGAATTCAGTAGAAGGATGGAGATCGTAAGAAACTCACCCTGATAATGTCGAACAGGAAGTTGCCCGATCCGGCGCCGCTACCCTTGTCCGCAGACGCGCCGAAGCCGAAGTTGAGGAACCTCTTGTTCCGGTTCTCGTCGTCTTCCGCTTCTACCTCGTCCAACGGCGTCAAAGGTGCCGCTGCATCACTGCTTCCTTGCTCGTCCGCGAATTGCACTTTCACCTCGTTGTTCTGCGACTCTGCCGCCACCTCGTTCACCCTGTCCTCCGCTTCCGGGTTCACGTCCTGTAAGTCACAAGTTTCACGGTCGACCTCTTCGAACCGGGGTCTCGAGAAGAACCGATCGATCGCCGACAGGAACGTGGACATTAGATTTGACAGTCAAATTTGATTAAATTTGACATTGAATTTGAGAAAGGCAAGAATTTATAGCTAGGCTATTAAATTTGAATACAGCCAAGGTCTTGATAGAGCGTTAACCCGAATCGAGTTTCTTGTAACGAATATCTTGTTTACATAATTCCTTGATAAATTGTGTAGAGGGCGATCGAACGTTCATTCGAGCGGAAAGTGCAAGAGGGAGATGAAGCGTGAGACGCGCGTTCTGGCGATGTCTCGTGATCGGAAAACGCGTCGATATTATTAATTATTAACAGAGGTCTTCGGCAAGCACGGACGTAATTAAAAGCTCTACAGGTGTATTACCAAATTAATCCGACGATTCTCAACTTTGATTGGACCTGAGCAACGTTTGAGCGTTGGGAATCGTTCAGGTGCATCGACACTTATTACGATCGTTAGAAATACATTTGCTGCTTATATAATACAGAGTTCAAACATATTCAACGTTCCTTTCGAATCAGACCGTCCACGCGGTGAAAACTGGACGATATATAAGACCAATTCGATGAAGAATGTTTGAAAAACAGAAACGCCGGAGAGAAGTATGAGAGGTCGTCGTTTCTGAAGAGCACGAAATGATCAGCGAAGAAGAAGTAAGCCAGAGAAGAGAACAATACACCCTCCAATGAAAGGACAACGTCTCGAACACAGAATGAAGACAGACGATACGTGAACAGATAGATAAAACGAGATTGAACGCACACAGAACAAAAAGGACAGTTAGCAGGCAAAGAAGATGGTAGACATAGAGTCCGCAGCAGTCCCGATTGCGCGGTGGTCGTCCTTGCCGGTACATCGAGGGATCAATCTTCCCGAGGTTCATTGACCTCCAAACGTGTTACCGAGCTGGTCAGCGAACGACGATCAAGCGATCGTGTTGCTGACGTCGGTCGTCCCCGCGTTCTGCACGTCATCGCTGATTTTGGTCGTCTCATCGACGGACGATTCGGTGGCGATCGTGGTAGAGTTATCGGTGGTGTCCTCGACCTCGTCCGGCGGATACGTCGGCAACGATATCGACACTCTACCGTTCGAACTGGTCGACTTGGTGCCGTCGACGTCGAAATCGTCGTCGTCGAAGGGAGACGCGGCGGTCACCGTCGATCCCTCTTTCGACGAGCCCCCGGATCTCGCCCCAGAATTATTGCCGACGAAACTGCGCAGCACGGTCGGACCCAGGACTCGGATGATTTCAGCTGCTATCGCGTTCACCTTTTGTTCGATCATCTAGAAAACAACGGCTCTTAGCTGGCTGTCGCTTGGTCTCTGTCGTCTCGTTTTAGGAGTTTTGGATTTTCATCCCGGTTTCGGGGTTGTCGATGAGTCGGCTGTATGAAGGGTCGTCGAATTCCATTCGAGAGCAACTTTGGTTCTCTTGTCAGCTTTTGAACCGAGATCGTCGACACATTGATGGCGTGATTGTTTAGGGTAGCCCGCTTAATAGACTCGTTGGGAGCTTTTTTACGGGCGAGGAATTTTAGGAACTTGGGAAATTGCGAACATGAAAACTCAAAAATTAAAATCTAGAGTCTGAGTATACGAAGAGTAAGAGTTTGAATAATCAGATGCTTTTAGTCTAATGAGCGGGAGATAACGCGAGTCAAGAACATCGATTAATAAAATGAGTAAACGCGCGGTTATACAATCCGAGAGGGAAACGGGAAACTTTTGCGTGAATCGCGAATCGAACGTGCAACTTTCTTGACAGGAATGCCGATTCGCTGCGAGCAATTTCTCCTCCGCTTTGAATCGACACAAGATTACCAATCAAATTTCTCTGCCATCCGATGGAAGATTTCTCGGTCAGACGTTCACACGCTTATCGACAAATAACGGGAAGGACGTTCGAGGTCCTGTTAACGGGTAGAAGGTGTTAAAACAGGTCCTGGCTGTCTGCAGGATTTGCGTTCTTGTTCAGCAGCTGCTCACCTGAGATATTTCTGGGAACAGTTCTTTCAGGATACCGATTGTCCTCTTTCTCCTGAGGGCGATCTCGTTGTCTCCTTCGACCGTCACCAATCGATCTAGTGCCTGAAAAAAGTTGCCCTTTGTCCCTACAAAGTATTTCTTTCGCGGTTCTGTCCATCCTGTCGATTTTTCTTCCTGTTCGGTTCTTTTCGGAAGTTCAACTTCTTCAATCGTTGCTCTCGAGGATAAGGAAGCGACGGGTATAATTTGCACGAGAAATTGATCGAAAGTGTCGGTTATAGTAATATAAGGTTGTGCAATCCTAGAGACACGTGGTACGAGAGAGATGTTATCTCGGAAGGAACTGTCCAAGCACGTTTACCTTGTTCGTAAATGGCAATTTTCGAATTACGTAAAATCAGCGACCAACACGTGGTCTAACTGGACAGCGATAAAATTCAACAAGAGGATCGTAAAGCCGAACGACGATAATTCATCAGAAACTACCGCGTTAAACGCGATTGTGTATTATTACAGGAACATAGTTCTCTGTTACAACCGCTTTGAACATTGTCTTGCGAAGGTTGCTCGAATTAAACGGCAGCAGCGGTTCGTTTTGAGAATGAACCTGTTGACGCAAACTATTCGATAAGGCTTAATCGTGCCGTCTTGGTCACCGGACTCAAAAGTTGCTCAACCTGGTTACCATGGTTCACTTTCCCTCGAACCACGTTCACATTCGAGCAGCTGTTACGCTATTCGTCCCCGCGTCTTATCCTTACAGCAATTACTTTTTCCTTCGTTACAATCTCCACCGGCAATTCGTCTCGCGTTTTTCTGTCGCGTTCGCGATGCACACATTTACAGTTATCAAAGCTTTCCTTCATAACTATACTCCATGTGCGACTTAAAGATAGTTAGACTTAGGTGTCTTAACCAAGCATTGATGTCTCTAAACGCGAAATATTAAACGTACAGGAAAACGTGCAGTTCTAGGAACACTCTCTTGCCACGCATTGATGTCTCCAAACAAGGACCGTCTTCGAAGAATTATTACATCAAAGCTTGATGAGAACAGCAAATTTAATTATGTGATGTGGTCAAACGTCACTTGAATATTTATTACCCAATTAATAGAGGAGTTTAATTTTAACAATTCCTGACGGAATGCATAATTAAAATCAAGCATTAATGTACAAGATGAACGCAGATTATCAATAACAAACTACAGCTGATTTCCGACAATTTTTTCACAAATGTCAACCGAAATAAAGTGTTGAATGAATGCGTATTTATAAACGCAGTTAAAAAATAAGAATAAAAGATTGAGTGGAGTCATAAGACCGTTTGGGAACCACTGGTTCGTGGTGTCTGAAGAATCGCAGATCAGAAGGAGGTTGAAACGTGCACGTGAACGCGTGTACGCTTACGCACGCGCTTTCCATCGGGCACCGATCGACCGAAGAAAGTGTCCGGTGTAACTCTGTAAGTTCGCGGCCAGTGAAAGTGTCGGGCCAAAGAAGAGAGCCGCTCGAACCTGGCTTTTCGACCGTGTATTTCATCGTGAAACGTCACTTGCCTAACTTTTTCTCTATGAAACCACTTCTCAGAAATTACGGAATCACTTTCGTTGACCTCGACGATGACCTTCCGAACGATTTAGGATTTGTCTCGAATTTACGGCAAAATCGATGTCAATGTCGTATGTTTATGAGTACTTTTACAAATCGTAAGGATGGTGTTACACTTATGCAATGATTAGAAATTTTCGATTCTGCAGATCTGTAAAAGGATGAAAGTAACAATTCCAGCGATCGAAATCAGAAGTATTCAGTGGCAAGTTTACGTAAAATTATCAGTGGAATAGTTAATGGTAGGAGTAAAATGTGAAAATCTAAAAGTGCTCAAACGAAGAATAACGAGAAAGTTTCTCGATAAGACAGTGTCTCGGTTCAAGGAAAGAGAAAAGAGCCAAAATGTTTTGAAACGAAGCCAGATTCGATCTATCCACGAAAGGTGAAGAAACCGCCGTATTTCACCGCGTTAAATCTTTCGCTAGTCTTTCAATGTCATCGGTGACAGCCAGCTAAAATATTTACGCATTTACGATCATTCCATCCATCAGAAGCGCTGCCACTTTTACGGCCGAATCCATTAGGCATTAAATTTGCAGATTTCATTGATTATACACGGTAAACACGTTTCCCCAAGATTTTTGTCTTTAAACGCTAACCAAGCAAGACGAATTGAATTATCGCAGAAACGCGAAGATTTCAAAGTCAAGAAGTTTTCCTAGGTGTTTGTACAACGCGAGGTAACACGCGCGAGTGAAAGACCCCTGATCGAAAATGAAACACCGACGATTGACTTAGCTGAACCATGAAACCGCGGCGAGAACTTTCGCGATTCTCTACGACTTAATTAAACCAGTCATCGTCTGTCACCGTTGAGCTTCCGTGAACGGAAACGGTCACTTTCTCCGGTTCCGGTGATCCTCGATGATAAGAATCGAGACCGTGCATCTTGGTGACCCAGTGACACAGAGAAATCGACCGTAACCGATTACATAACAAAAGCGAAACACTTGAACAAGAGTTAAAAAATGATTGAACTGTAATCATTAACACTGAGTCATACGAGTTTCGAAATTATTTCTCCAAATTATGGTCGATGATGCGTCTAAATACCAAGAAGTTTGCGCAGAACTCCTTTCAATTCGAGTTATTTATACTTCCAAAGATATTCCTCAACTTATTCGTAAAACAGAGTACAGAGTTCTCTCAAAGATGAATTATTCATCCAGTGGCCAAATATCAAGGTTTGTCAACAAATTGAGCATAAACCTCATAATTGTAGTTTGTGATTCGTATGATTAACTCATGGCGTTTGAAAAACAATGTGTACACTATCTTTTGAAGCTGCATTGACCTTCATCGACGGAATTACGATCGTAGTTGTGTATGCAATGTCACGAAACGCTCACACCAGCCTAAATTGAAATAAAGCTTTAGGGCAAAACCTGTTCCTTGATGAAGGTTTCTCGAAGGACTCACCTCGGACTGAAAACGTTCTCCTTCAGGAAGCGGTGTCGAGCTGATCAAAGTCACGCACAACGCACATGCCAAGACGATGCTGAGTTTCATGTTTGTCGATTGGTCCTGCAAAAAGACAGAATATTCTCAAAATTGGTTATTTCGAATTATTCGAAGAAACTTTTAGTAGCTTCAGTTTCTCGTTTGCTAAATTGCATTTCTATCTTGTGTTTCTTGCGACACGTGTTTCTTGCGGGATGGCACGGAAGCGTTTCTAACGGATTCTGGGGAAAAAGAAGAAGGTGAAGGAGTCACGGTGATGCTCCAGGAGAGGGGAGCTCTCCTTTCTCGAGCTCGGATCGAAACTATCACTTTCGACCGAATGAAAGTCGAGAACGTTGCCATCTTCAACGCTTCCCGGGGAAAGATGCTCTAACAAAATATGTACCTTGTAGTTTCTTCGGGGTTTAATGTTCGTCGCGTAGCGCGAATAGTGCAATAGAAATTCAGGTGCAACTATTCGAGCGAGCTGCCAGAATTTAATGATGGCATCGAGGCAATATACATTCAACTCGCACGACTCGATGGTGCAATGTTTCGAGGACGAATGGCACTGTCAATTATTCGTCATTGTTAAAATATTTGTACAAAAATTCTTTCGGAGTTCAATTTTTATTTTATTCTCGAATTTTTTTTATTTTATTCAATTTTATTCATAATTTGTGAAATAGATTATGGTACATTCGTTCTACATTTACGTATTTGTTGCAATCTGAGACTACTTTCTTTTGAATTAAACATCTTTTTTATGAATTCAATGATTTGCTATTTGAAACTCTATGTAAGGTAATGAAGATGAATATTCTGATGAAGTTTGAATCTCTTCTGTAAATTAATGTTCTAGTGAAGTTCGAAATTCTGTTTATTTTGAGTATATAATTTTTGCAAGCTCAAAGTGTATCCATCTCCATAAAAAAGAAACAGGTGACACATTATGCAAGATAGGAAATTGAGATCATACAAAAGTAACGACCGCTACCAAGTGTTTCTTCAAATCAGAAATCAGTCAAATCACGGAGGAAGATCAGAGGAAACGAAGAACCACACGTGTTCGAAGTCACATTTTCCTCGTCGATTTTCTCTTCGAGCTGGTCGCACACGGCGAGAACCACTACACGAAGATTTTCACTGCGGCAATTCTTGAGATCACCCTAGGAGGTTCGAAGGGAACACTCTGCACCGGGGAAACAATCGAGTAAAGACAAAAAGCATGAACTAAAAGCTTCCGATCCAAAACAACGATACCTCAAAAAGAAAATGAAAAAAGTGCATCAAATAAAAATATGAAGTCTATTGATCTACTCGACGATTTCCCTCACTGAGCCCTCGAGTTAACCACGTGGTTCCTTCGTTTCCTGACCGTTTCCCGATTCACTTATCGTTAGGGGAAACGCACGAGTCGCGGAACTCACCGCACACCGAATCGTAATCCGTCACACGATAAATTTGAACTGGCCGCTTGTTAAGAGGACTCAAAAGGAGCTCTCGCCGGCTCCTGCTCTCTTCGACTTTTCTGTGACTGTCTGTGTAACGGAGCTTAGTGAGCGGCTTTTATTAGAAGGAGGGGCCTGGCGCCACCTCCACGCTACACTTAAGCCTCCGTCCTCTCTGTTTCTCTTTCCTCTGCTCCCGACTTCAGTGATCCTGAAGAAGGGATCGTCGACGACCAGTTCTGGTTCACCGGAGATTCTCGTGTTCTTTGGCCCTGAAGATGACACAGAAGATACCCCATCGATCTTTAACCATCTTCAGGAATTTCTGGAAACAGGTAGAACTACGAGAATTTATTCTTGCAATGACTTTTCTTGTGACTGGATTTCTTTATTCAAAGTCAATTTATTTGAGGGGTAGGATAGATAATAAGGTAATTTGACATCAGATAATGCAAACAGTTTAGATAGATACATCAGATGATGGTAACTTAGTATTAAGAGTAATTTAAAAGAAATGAAGTTTAGTAACGTTAGATGGAGCATATCGAAATAACATTATCCATCTATACACATCGTCTTCTCAATATTTCAAGCACCATCATATTTCAAGAAATATTTGGCTAATAGGTAACACAGGAAATTAGGAAGATTTTCAAGGATTTCATCCAAGAAGTGAAATTTGTGACGAAACCGAATGACTGACGTTTTACACAGGATACAGAGGAAGATAGAAACCTTTTCTAAAAATCGAAAACTCTTACGCACGATTACGAGCGATATTTTTATTAACAGGAAGTGTCGGTTCTTACATCAAGAGAAACGCGATACGTGTTCTTTTTTAAACAGATGCACACTGAATCTAGTGTCACATTTAATTTCTCCGCCGAGTTATAGAACTGGTTCCCTTTTGCCCCTACTTTCTAGGAAAAAGGTATCAAGAAGCTATATAAACTCGCGAAAGAGATCATTCTACTTTTGTACGCCAACTGAATAAAAAATAAATGTAGCTCTGTTTGTAGCAAAATTATAAAATTTTAACAGAGATGACTATTTTTTAAGAATTGTATCTTGAAAAAATACATGTATCTTGACAACGTATCTTAACAATATATCTTGACAATGTATCTTGACAAACTATGCAAATACATCTTACAGCTGTTAAAAGGAGTAACCAGTAGATACATCTTGTAGCTGTTAAAAGTAACCAGTAGATTCAGCAGTAGATTTACCTCGCACTCAAACGTAAAAATCGTCAACATTCCCTTAGTAATTACAGCGGTGTGACTCATACCAGAAACAATAGCTCCTTTACGGTTAATTAGAGTGTCCCAAACAAAACTTTCCAGCAATTATTCGTGAACTAGCACGAGTCGAATGCGCGCCGGTTAAATCAGACTTATCTCGATAACCCGGCGTTGGTGCTTTCTCCGAGGTACGTTTCCAGTTTCGTTCTCTGTTTCACCGACCTTGTTGTGTGTCGCATCCAGTGAAAATTCCATCAAGATCTCGAGCAGATCTGCATTGCGGTGTCCGTGGAACCGCGAAACTTTCATTCCAGATTATTACCCAATTGTTCGTTTCAGAGCCAATGTTAAATTCGAGGAAAACGTGAAATATTGACGTGGTTTGTCGTTAGGTACCTTTTCAGTAATTTATGAAACGACTTTTAAGAGTATCATTGTCAAATATTTTTATAATAGATCTGGAGATGGTTACAGCAAGGTTACTGCACCTTTTGTTGGAGATTATTTTGATGTTATAACTTGTTGAATTTTTGACATGTATAATTTGTAACCCATTGTGCGCTGCATTTGTCGTACATTGTGGTTGTCGCGCGTTGAGCTTGCACTACGTCGAAATTGCACCGAGTTGAACTTGTGGTGCATTGAACTTGCGGTGCGTCGAATTCCTGACGCGTTGAATTTGTAATGCGTCGAATTCCTGACGCGTTGAATTTCCAGCGCGTTGGATTTGTGACGCATCGAATTTGCAGCGCGTTGGATTTGTGACGCGTCGAATTTGCAGCGCGATGAATTTGTGATGCGTCGAATTCCTGACGCGTTGAATTTCCAGCGCGTTGTGACGCGTCGAATTTGTAGCGCGTTGAATTTCCAACACGTTGGATTTGTGACGCGTGGAATTTGCAGCGCGTTGGATTTGTGACGCGTCGAATTTGCAGCGCGTTGGATTTCCAGCACGTTGGATTTGTGACGCGTAGAATTTGCAACGCGTTGGATTTGTGACGCGTCGAATTTGCAGCGCGTTGGATTTGTGACGCGTCAAATTTTCAGCGCGTTGGATTTGTAATGCGTCGAATTCCTGACGCGTTGAATTTCCAGCGCGTTGGATTTGTGACGCATCGAATTTGCAGCGCGTTGGATTTGTGACGCGTCGAATTTGCAGCGCGTTGGATTTGTGATGCGTCGAACTTGCGGTGCGTCGAATTCCTGACGCGTTGAATTTCCAGCGCGTTGGATTTGTGATGCGTCGAATTCCTGACGCGTCGAATTTCCAGCACGTTAAATTTGTGACGCGTCACATTTGCAGCGCGTTGGATTTGTGATGCGTCGAACTTGCGGTGCGTCGAATTCCTGACGCGTTGAATTTCCAGCGTGTTGGATTTGTGACGCATCGAATTTGCAGCGCGTTGGATTTGTGACGCGTTGAACTTGCGGTGCGTTGAATTTGCAGCGCGTTGAATTTTTTTCGCCTTGCATCAATAATCATCGAAATTCGCAACCCACTGATTTTTGGCTCCCTGAATTAAATTTGTGTCACTAAACCCTCAATAAATTAAACTTACAGTATACTAAATCTCCCACAAATTCACATTATGTATCTCGACACTACGCAATCAAGATAAAGCCGATTTCCAAAATCATTCCAAGCACTAATTAATTACCATGTTGCAACCACAAAGTTCTTTGTACGACCATAATTTTGTCCAAGAAGAATTAATGCCTTTCCAAGAATCCAGAGAGCAGAAAACCCATTAAACACTGGCATTAACCAGGAAATTTGAAGCAACTCGAACCTTGAACTGCTTCGTAAACAAAACTGTGTAGTTCCCTTTTTTTCGGCTTTAATACCACGGACAGAATTAATTCTCACATTGGTTCTATAAATAGGTGGACGATTATCGTGGAACGATTCTGTGTAAGTCCGATTTGCATACGTTTTTCTCGTACGATGAAGAAACGACTTATTTCCGAAGGAGAATAGGAACAAATATGAACGGTGTAATCCAGGACCGTTACGACTGTAAATATTGTCAACCTCTTGCGACCATGGAAATTATAAACGTCGTTGAAGTTTGTGCCATTAGGACGCTTCCGCTTGTTACATGTCAGCATCGTACGAACGACAGGAGTAAGAGGAAGAACGATCATTATTCACTCGGCTAATGATACTGGGAATTATTCAAACCGGTCATCTATCAGTTAAGAATAATTGATCAAAAAAATACACAATAGAACATGGAGACCGTAAAATGACGCACGTTTCTAGAAGATTTTAAAATATTCTTTATTTTCTTTCTCTCACATTAATCATACAAAATTTATACTCATTTTATTATGTTATATTTTACTTATTACATTTACTGTACATTACATTTGCATTCACTGTTACATCTTACATCCGGTATTACATTTTAATGTATTACGTTTTGTTAGTTCATTGCGTTGTAAATGTTTTTACCTGTGATTCAATTATGTGTATATGGGATTGAATATGTAATTGCACAAAATAATTAATACACTGTTAAGTTCCAAACTTGCCAAGTTCCAAACTCCTCAATTCCAAACTTCCCAAGTTCCAAACTCTCCTAGGTTTCACTTCTCAAATTCTTAATTCCTCGAGTTCCAAACTTCACAAGTTCCAGACTCTCCAAGTTTCAAACTCTCCTAGGTCCCACTTCTCAAATTTTAAACTCCTCAAGTTCCAAACTTCCCAAGTTCCAAACTCTCCAAGTTCCAAACTTTTCAAGTTCCAAACTCTTCAAGTTCCAAACTCTCCTAGGTCCCACTTCTCAAATTTTAAACTCTTCAAGTTCCAAACTTCCCAAGTTCCAAGCTCTCCAAGTTCCAAACTC